CCTTGTTCTTAGGGGATACATGTTGACATGTTTAGGTGTGAAATGTGGTAAAATAAATGAATAGGTGCTTGTTTTAGGTTGAAATTTTTCAAAACAAATGTTGGGACAGCAGCTCTTTCTGCCCACGGGTCCTGTGCCTATGCTTTATTCAAACCACCTTTTTTCACCAAACCAAACAAAACAAACAAAAACAATAAATGGCTGGGCAAAAAGTTTAGGCTGAAAACAAAATACCAACCCTAAGTATTTCCTGGCCCAAATGACCACTCCACATCTTTCCCTAGCCTAGTCTTTGCTGAGTGAGCAGAACCTTCTGCAAATAGCTGAGTGTCCGTTTGCCAGGCACTATACTAGACACCAGGGTCACAAAGATCAAGGAGACTCACACCTCCTTAAGGAGCTGAAGGTTTATTGGAGAAGATAGATATAATATGACACAAACAATTACTAAATGCAATGTAGTGTGTGGCAAAAGAGGTACATTTCCATCATGGTACAGAATTTCTTAAAATATGGTTCACCGATCACTGGTATTTGTCATCTGTGTTGGAGAAGGTGTCATGCCTTAAAATGCAGATTCCTGGGCCTTGTATCAAGCCTCTGCATCAGATGCTCTGGGCTGAATCTACACGTTGATCAACAAAGCAATGCTGATGCACACTGAAGGTAGGTTAATAGGCACATCAAAGAGAATGATTACACTTTTTATGTTTTTTTGGAAAGGATTACCAAAGAGGTTTGGACTACCTTGAAAGAGTAGAAACTCACCAAGTGGCCAAGGGTAAGCCATTAACACCGGACTTGTAGTTCTGCAGTTTCCTTCCTATTTTTATGTTAAACTCAACAAGTGATAGCACCTGCTTTCTGTAAGCTGAATCAAATGAGTTTTCAGGTTTGGTTTGGTTTGGTTTTACTTTTTGGCAGTCAGATTTAACACTAAGTTAGCTGACATCATTTCTCTTTCTTTAGGTATGCAGAAACACACCGAGTATATGCTATTGTGTTAGTGTCTGCATACACCTCCGACTTGGGGGATGAAAATGAGCGGGCCAGTGGTAAGTCCGAAGGCAGAAACCAATACAGAAAAGCCCTTCCTCGGGACGCCTGGGTGGCTCAGTTGGTTAAGCGGCTGCCTTCGGCTCGGGTCATGATCCCAGCGTCCTGGGATCGAGTCCCACATCGGGCTCCTTGCTCCGCGGGGAGCCTGCTTCTCCCTCTGCCTCTGCCTGCCTCTCTGTCTGCCTGTGCTCGCTCACCCTCTCTCCCTCTGTCTCTGACAAATAAATAAATAAAAATTCTTTAAAAAAAAAAAAAAAAAAGAAAAGCCCTTCCTCTAGTCACAAGGATGCTTGTTCAGTTTAAACAGCACTGGCTTTTGGATAGGCTAAAAAAAAAACCTCTAGTAGCATTTGAGAAACATTTATTGCCCTTCTTTAGATGCAAATTAGGCCCTTTGAGAGGTGATAGACTACTTCCTAATACATTGAACCCTGATTTTATCTGAGTCATGTACTCCCCCTTCCCAAGTGACTATGGTATGGAGCTCTACAGATTTGAAAACTAAAGGACTTCTAACTCACACGTAGGCACTCAATCTTTGTGTCTCTGCTATGGTCTTTGCTAGATATTTTACAGTGGCTAGAATGGAAATTATCCATGGGTGGTAATAGGTTATATATTTATGTTGTTTTTTCCCATAGGATACTTCAGCCGTCCCTGGCAGTGGGAGAAGATCAAAGCCAACTGCCCTCACATTGTACAGTTTGGCTCCACTGATGATCCTTTCCTTCCCTGGAAGGAACAACAGGAAGTGGCTGATAGGCTGGAAGCCAAATTGTACAAATTCACTGACCGTGGCCACTTTCAGAATGTGGAGTTTCATGAACTGATTAGTGTGGTAAAGTCTATGCTGAAAGTACCAGCATAGACAGGATGGTTTCTGCTATTTTGCATTCCAGTATAGGGACAGAGCAATTATCAGGTTATTAATAGATAAAAATCATCTGTGACCAGATGATTAGTGGACACATAAATTCTAAAAAAACACAAGTTCAATGTTCAAAATAAGTTAGAAACAGCATTTCCATTTTCCATAGGATCTGTATCTCACAAACTGCTATGAACTGAAGCAGTGTTTTTCCCATTTGATTTGGGACATAAGGACAGTTTATCTACCTTTATCTGTCCAAAGTGAATAAGCAGAAGTGGAATCCAGGTTTCCTGATTCCCAGTCCAGATTAAAACGAACTACTTCTGTGTATGTTGTAGGAGTGCTACTCCTCTTTGGAATGAACCTTTTGTTATTTTGGGAGGAAAGAAAACCTGACCAAAGGTCCAGAGTGCTGGCTTAGAGCTCAAACCACTAGCTATCTTGGGCTGGCCCAGGACATTAAACCCAGACCAGGGCCTCCCATCTTTATGACACCCTGCCCCGGTCCTTCATGCTGAGGAAGAATGACCCATACGTAACTAAGAGTCGGGTCTGCCAGGTCAGACAGTGACCATAAGCCCAACCTGGACATACACATGAGCACAGCCAATCAGATCTGTGCTAGACTAGAGTGGTGGTGATTAGGGCAACATGGGGAACTCATGCCTTGTCTACATTGTTGCCATGTGGGAAGGGGGAAGGGTATTGCCAATTTTCTGATTTTTCAAGGAAAAAACTCAATGCAGTAGTTTTTATATTTAGGGACTATATATATGTTTGTATACACAGTTCATATGTATATGAGTTACATTCAGTACGTGTACATGTGGATGATGTAATTTGGAAGTGACAGCATCAATAAAAAATTTACAGACACTGCAAGACACACAAAGTCCAAGTCACCCATTTGTGACCTCTGCCATTGGGACTGACTTAGCCAGGTGCTTTAAATGATTCTTTGTGAAGCATAAGAAATGAACATAATGTCAAAGGATGCAATCATGGGAATAATTTGGATTTTGTTACAAAATCTTAACTAGTTTTTAAAAGAATCTTTCCATACCTCAAATTTTGTTCTGTAAAGAATTCTACCTTTTAACTTCCATGGTCCTTTGGTTCTCATTTAAGCCTTATTCCATGATTTTTTTTTTTTTTCTGATCATATTCCCTCAAAAAAATGCTTTTTATTTCCCAACATTTTTTGGCTATTATGATCCCTAAATATTGCCTCAAACAACTTCCAGTGACTTCATACTTGATGTTGCAGAACCTGATGTTTGCTGCAAAGATGTGAATTCCCTGTTTATGTCTAAAGGAGATTCAAAGCCATCATTTTAACCTGAAAAGTTTTGGTTTCTAAATGTGATCAAAGAAAAAAAAGACTCTCATCATTTAATGGCAATTATCTTTGGGGAATGGGAATTTTAGATATGGTGTGGTGGGAATCTCCTTTTTACTTACCTGGGTATTTTGAGTTTATTATAGTGAACATGTATTACTTTTATAATTAAAAAAATTTAAGAATTAAAACAACTCATTTGACGTGTTAGTGAAAAGCAAATTCAATAAATCAATTGAATAATAATTTTCTTAAAGAGGTTGTTTAGCAATAATTTGATCAAGCCTATTACCAAAATCTGATTCTATTTGGATTATTTGGAATTAGTCATTGCTTTACTTACTCTCAGTCTTGTTTTCTGAAGTCCTTTGTCAAAAAATTACAAACTGGGGCACCTGGGTGGCTCAATGGGTTAAAGCCTCTGCCTTCGGCTCAGGTCGTGATCCCAGGGTCCTGGGATCGAAACCCGCATCAGGCTCTCTGCTCAGCAGGGAGCCTGTTTCCCCCTCTCTCTGTCTCTGCCTGCCTCTCTGCCTACTTGAGATCTCTGTCAAATAAATAAATAAAATCTTAAAAAAAAAGAGAAGCCATAAAAAAAGTTACAAACTTAAATAAGTTAATAATATTATATTGTCCTCCTCTTCCACAGAAAGGCAACAAATCTATACAATTGAGAAATAAGTAATTGTGATATTCTTCATTCCTATAATTAATCTAGACCTAGTTGTGTTATCCAATTTGGTAGCCAATAACCACAGGGAGCTAAAAGATTAAAAATTCAGTTATTCATTCACACTTGAAATTTATACATTTCAAGTTTTAACAGACACAGGTGACTAGTGGCTGCTTTGTTGAATAGTAGATATGGAATACTGTCATCCTTATAAAAAGTTTGTGGGACAGCAGTAGTCTATGACATGCATTTTTATTCTTCCTACCCACCATGTAATAATAATGGTTCAAAGTAAAAGTCACTCAACTTGAAATTGTTTGACTCATTTACTCAGTTGATCGCCATAAAAATCATGGCTGCATAAAATTTACTCTTCACCAAATTAAGCTCAGAGGAGTTTTATAGAAGAATCCCACATAAACTATCAATTTAAACCACTGACTCATGGTCTCTCATGATTGATTCCCAATGGATCATTATTAAGCAGAGTTGAGGGGCCCTAACAGACTCCAGGGAATATCTATACTTAGGTGACCAAAATATCTTATACTAAATGGAAATCAACTGTAAGGATTAGGACTTCACTCACAATTTATTTTCTCGTGTCAGGAGTCAATAGCTCCATAATTTGTTTTAGTCACAGTTTATTTCTGATGGGTAAATATCCACTTAACTATGTATTAAAGACACAGTATTTTTGTCTCTTTTCTCCTTCAGCTACTATTTAGAATGAAAAACATGCTGTGGGAAAAGCATTTATGTTGCGGTCTCAGATTGTAAGCTTTAAAATCTTTGGCTGTCAAGACACAATGCAAAGTCTGTATTTAATACAGGAACTGCTTCCTTCTCCCCACCTGTACCTCTTCCCCAAGTTCAGTTTTCTCATTAAATAAGACTAGCACTTTCATGACAGGCCAGGTCCCAAGGACAGATAATGTTACTATTCCAGCACTCTCTGCAGGTGTTATAGTTTCAGGCTCCCAGATTCTCTATATATCCAATACCTGAAATGATCTTTGTTTCAAAGTCCTAGTGTTATTGATTATACCATAGAGCTGGCCACAGTCTCCACCTGGATCTTAGTTGGTTACTGAGCTGAATTTTATTTTATTGATCCCATATATCTCAAAATAACCCTTCTGATGTTTACCACTTGGAGTATATCCAAACTGGTGTTTGAATTCAGGCCTCAGTAGTAGCTGGCTTTGAGTTCCTTTCCTTTGGTCCCATGCTTTTGGCCTGGACACAGAAATCATTAAGCAGAGCTACAAAGTGAAAATACAACAGCTGAGATCCTAAAAAGCTAACTTCTGTGCAACAATACACCAAATAACGCAGGCTTGAAAGTACTATTAGAACTGAGAAAAATTATAATGGCTTTTTGCTTAGGTTAGACCAATTACACCATGACTTCTAAGACCGTAAAGAAAAAAAATCATATAAGACAAGAAAAGTGGAGTGGTACCCCGCTCACAATAAAGTGTGAATGGAGGGCAATGCATTATAGGGCAATTCTAGCAAATAAGGCAGCTGAGCCACAGAGTGAAACTTGGAAGACTCTGACAAAGAAGGATCAGTGAAAACATTCTCTTTAGGACTAGAATAATCATATTTATGCACTGAAAACATCTCTGGCAACAGTCATTTGCATTTGAGGTAGGAACAAAGGCATAATACTCAAAGAATATTTCTGATGTAAAAAGGAATGAATAGTGTGTGGAAAGGGATGTTCCATACTTTCCCCCACTCATGCCTCTAAGTGCTATTCCTGCCTCACCGCTTTTGATTCCTTCCCAATGAAACCACTGAGAAAAGAGAAAACTAATGGCAATAGTGAACCAGATAAAATTTTCCAATGAAGACCTTAATAAATAACTTTAAAATGGGCATTTTTAAACTTTAGTCATTATTGTAGTATATGGCAAACATGGATTTGTTGGCTTCTTTTTCCATGAACCATCAAAAGTCTTGAAAGCTTCAGAGGTGGTCTTCTGGAAGTTCAAAGTATTATATTTATTGAAGAATGAATTTCACTATTAACCTTACCTGTTTCATATTCTGTTGGCTACTCTACCAATATAAATTTAGTCTTCATAGATTAAAAAAATACTTTTGCATAGCAGCACGTCTGTCCATTATTGTGAAGTTTGCTTTCAAGGGAATTTGATGTTCCATCGTGAGTTAAATTATCTGCTCCCAAAGTAACTTCATTTGCAAAATGTCAGTAAAGTTCCTATTCTCTGTTAAAATTCGAGCCACTCTGTCATATAAATACAGTTAGATGGTGAGATCTCACCACCTTCATGGCAGTCATCAAAAACCTTTAAAAAAGATAAAAGTTTACAATCAAATGAGAGTTTTAAAATTATTACATTATAAGTCTTAAATGTCACCTCTAACTAAAATTTCTGTTAAAAGTATCCAAGATCCAACCATTTTTTAAAGCAGTATTAAAAATAAAATTTTCAGGGCACCTGCATGGCTCAGTTGGTTGTGTCTGCCTTTGGCTCAGGTCATGATCCCAAGGTCCTGGGATCAAGCTCCATGTCAGGTTCCCTGCTCAGCAGGGAGTCTGCTTCTCCCTCTCCCCACTGCTTGTTCTCTCTCTTTCCCTCTCTCAAATAAAAAAAAAAACAAAATCTTTAAAAAATTACATTTCAAAATAACAGTTTCAAAGAGACTAGGGCTGTGTTTAAGAACATGCTGTAATAGGACCTGCTGTGTGATTATAAAGTTAGTGAATATGAGGCCTTTCACTGTAGCACTAAGATGATCTGAGCATCTGCCCATTGGGCCAAAGGCTATCAGCAGGTAACTGGAAAGCAGATCTATATATATGTTTCACTAACCAAATGTTTCATGTTAGCTATATTCGTTTTTGTGAAGAATTCCCACATATGCTCACTGTTTTTTCTGGGACTTAAAACCAGCATACAAAGAACTTAGGCATATAGACAAGGGCTGGTTTAATGAAATAAAACTGACGCCAGCAGCCCCAGAATATAAATGCCCCGAGGGCAGAAGGAGTGCCTGCAGCATACAGCCAGCATGCACATGCCATATGGGACTAGATGAATGAAGAGTAGTGGGGTGTGCTGCAGGGGAAAGAACATATCTGGGTTCCCATCCTGGGTGTTACTTCAAAGCTGTAGCTCCTACACCTTCGTTATCTTCATGCTTACGCAGAAATAATACCACTAGCTCCAAGGGACAGAACTAGGATTAAATGAGACCGACCATGAAAATCTTCAAGAATATGCCTGGACTGTGGTGGGTTCTCAGCAAATCTCATTTTGCTCCCTACTTGGGTTAAATGATCAGCCCTCATTAAAAATTGTCCATTTCAGGGCCAAGGGCAGAAAACACAAATTTCTCTAACTTGGTTATTCTAAAAAAGAATGTAAAGCAATGACTTGTTCATCAAGGGCCCGTCGTCAAGGTTACATGCAGGTTTGAGCTGCTGTTGGTCAACCCTGACAGTCAGAAAACTGGGGTGTGCTTGCTGCTAAGTTAGGTGGCATTTGCACCTGCTGGCAGTCAGGTATGACGTGAAGCCACTTTAACTCACCGGGCAGAGTCCACACGGTGCCCGGACCAAACCCGTGGGTGGGATGATTGGATTGACTGCTCTGTACAGTTTCATGTGTCCGTCTACACTGCCAACTGTGCCTTCTTTTGCAGCAATGATAGTCATCTCCACTTTCCCATCATAAATGAGTGTATTTAAGATCGTTTCAATGTCCTCCATGGACAACTCTACCTGAAAAGGAAATGCATTAGGAAGAACACAAAAAGCACAAGAAGACATCCTTTTGGAGAGTCTTTAAACAGTAAAAGGTCCTCAGTGCCTTGGTGAAATGGGGAAGCATTATGCTGGTGAGTCATTAAAAGCATGGGTTGAAGAGCCCAGGTTAGCACAAACCACTGAAATGCCAGGGACAGAACTCCTAACTCATGTCGAATTTGACACACTCTTATTTTTCCACCCTCTTCAGTGAAATTTAGAAGTCTTCTAAAGTAACAGTTTTGGGGCAAGAATATGATGGAGATTTACAAAATGGTTGAACAGAAAGTTACTTTAAATATCAAACAGTCCAAATTCCTTCTTTTTTTATAAATGAGAGATCTGGGGTCCGGGAAATGAAAATGACTTGTCCAAATGGTCACTTCAGTTTCTTCTCTGATTATGAAAAGCACCTGGCACTGTGTCTTTATGTACAGGTCTTCAAAAACATGCTGACAACACCACTCACATCTTACACGGGGAACACGATACCAATTAAATGACAACTGATGGGATGGCTGATGTTTGGCTTCTACATTGAAAGGTCCCTGAGAAAGTCAAGACCTTGTCAACAGACTATTGCATTTTGGTAGTACAACTCATTGCCAGGCCTCTACTCTGCTGCTTGTATCCCAAGCTGAGTACATACAGAGCCCACAGTGCCTGATGGCATGATAGTCATCTTAGTCTAAATGGCTTAGGACAGTGCTTTCTCAAAGTGGGTTCTGCAGAATGTTCACCCTGAAAAAAGGGTCTTGGTCAAATACGTTTAGAATACTTTGTAAACTATATCCCTATGATGAAGAGTAACCCTTAAAAAGTAAGATGAGGGATGCCTGGCTGGCTCAGTTGGTTAAGCTGCTGCCTTTGGCTCAGGTCACGATCCCGGGGTCCTGGGATCGAGTCCTGAATTGGGCTCCTTTCTCAGCGGGGAGCCTACTTCTCTCTCTTCCACTGCCTGTCACTCTGCCTGCTTGTGTGTTTTCTTTCTCTGACAAATAAATAAATAAATAAAATCTTAAAAAAAAAAATTTAAACAAAAGATGAAAATAAAAACTGTGCTCTCACCTTACTGATCCCCAGTTCACAGATGTACTTCCACACTTCATGTGATGAGGCAAATGAACTATTTCTTTGTATCATTGGATTCTGTTTGCTTTCTCGTGCTGTTTCTGCCTACAAGGGTAGAACCATAAATCTCAGCAAGAACACTAGTATTTTATGAATACAATTATTTAGTGTGATATCAATAGCAGAATATATTAAGAAAAAATTACCAATTTGAATATTTTCAAGTCCTATAAAATATGATATACAAGATTGTTCACTCATTCTTTATGAAGCAACTTTTAAAAAAAGACCTGCAGTGATGTTTCCTGAATTATGGCTCACCTTGGTTTGTAGGAATTTAAAACACTGTTGGTTAAGCACCTCTACAAATTCTGATTCAAAATCCTGATCACTGTACCAGGCTCCACCAGTCACAGATCGGTCCGGTTGCAGGTTATAGAGCATGTATACTTTCTTTTTTGAGGCCTAGGGAAAAAATGTACAGCAGATGTGGTTATAAGATAACCAAGTCTTCCAGGGGTGCCTGATTAAGCATCTGACTCTTGGTCTCAGCTCAAGTCATGATCTCAGGGTCATGAGATCGAGCCCCCGGCTTGTGCCCATGCACTCTCTATAAATAATCAATCAATCAATCTTGGTGGTGGGGGGAGGAGAAGATAATCAAGTCTTCCAAAACTGAGATTTAAAAAAACCCTTGGGGTGCCTAGTGGTTAACCTAGTTGGTTAAGCGCCTGCTTTCGGATCAGGTTTTGATACTGGGGTCCTGGGATCGAGCCCTGCATCGGGATCCCTGCTCCGTAGGGAGCCTTACCTCTCCTCCTCCTTCTGCTGCTCCCCCTGTCAACTAAATAAATAAGACCTTTAAAAAATAAAATAAAATAATTTTAAAAGCCCTCAACACTTTTTTTTTTTTTTTTTGGAGTCAGGGGTGAGAGAGGGAGAGAGACTTAAGCAGGTTCCACACCCAGCACAGAACTGACCCTGAGATCATGAACTGAGCTAAGATCAAGAATCGAATGCTTAACTGACTGACCACCCAGGCACCCTTCAGAATTTTATATTTTAAGCAGTTTCAGATTTATACAATTATTGTAAAGATGGTACATTTACCTTGTGCTCAGTTTCCCCTCTTAACATCTTACATTAGTAGGGTGCATTTATTACAATTAATGAACCAATATTGATGCATTATTATTAACTAAAGTCCATACTTCTTTGAGGTTTCCTTAGTTTTTGCCTAATATCCTTTTTCTGGCCCAAGAACGTATTCAGGATACCACATTACATTTACTTGTCATGTTTCCTTGGCAGATTCCCAAACTTTCCTTGCTTTTGATAACTTGCCAGTTCTGAGAATTACTGGACGGGTGTTCTGTAGGACATCTGTTGACTGGGATTTGTCTGATGTTTTTCTCACAACAAGATCAGGAGAAGGACCATGGAGGAAAAGTGCCCTTCTCATCACATCCTGTCAAGGGCACTTGAACTTCAAGTTATGACTGATCACCACCAATAGGACTTCTCAGTGTTGAGGTTAACCTTGATCATGTGGCTTGTTTCTCCACTGTAAACTGACTTTTTTCACCTAGCCTTTCCATGTGTGGAAGGAAATCACTATGCACAGCCCACACTTAAGGAGTGGGAGTTACTTTCTATCTCCTTGAGGGTGGAATGTCCACTTTAGATTACTTGGACGACTTCTGCTTGTCTATTCTGCATCTACTCATGGGAGATCTGTTATTTATTTACTTATTTGAGAGGGGGAGAGAGAGCAAGTACAAGTGGCGGGGAGGGAGTGGGACAGTCAGACTGCACTGAGCCTGGAGTCCAGTGTGGGGCTTAACCTCACAACCTTCAGATCTCGACCTGAGCCAAAATCAAGAGTCGGACACTTAACTGGCTGAGCCACCCAGGCGACCTGATCCGTCATTTATTTATTTAAACATTTATATCCGTATGGACTCATAAATATTTTTTTATGCTTTGGGTTATAATCTAATACTACTTTAGTTTGAAACCTTGAGAACATGATGTAAATGAAAGAAGCCTGACACAAAAGACTACACAGTGTATGATTCTATTTATACGAAATGTCCAGAGTAGGCAAATCTCCAGGGACAGAAACTACATGTCAGTGCCTATGGGCAGGGAGGCTGGGAAGTGACTCCTATTGGGATCATATTTCAGGAGTGATCAAAATGTCCTAAAATTAGAATAATGTGATAGATGCATGACTGTGAGTATACTATAAACTACCAAAATGTACATTTTAAGCATATGAATTTAACAGTATGTCAATGATTTCAATAAAACTTTTATTAAAAATAAAGATGGAGGGGCGCCTGGGTGGCTCAGTGGGTTAAGCCTCTGTGTCTCTCTCGGTCAAATAAATAAATAAATAAATTTTTAAAAAAGATTTTGTTTAGGAGCGTCTGGGTGGCTCAGTGGGTTAAAGCCTCTGCCTTCGGCTCAGGTCATGGTCTCAGGGTCCTGGGATCGAGCCCCACATCAGGCTCTCTGCTCAGCGGGGAGCCTGCTTCCCCCTCTCTCTCTGCCTGCCTCTCTGCCTACTTGTGATCTCTGTGTCAAATAAATAAATAAAATCTTTAAAAATAAGTAAATAAAGATGGAGAAGAAAGATTGGTAAAGTGAAGCTGGGCGATCAGTATGTGGGGACTTATATTATTTTCTCTACTTTTGTATATATTTGAAGTCATCCATTAAAAAGGCTGAAGGGAGGTAATGTTCTAAATTAGGGACTGGGGAGCGCCTGCGTGGCACAGTTGGTTAAGCGTCTGGCTATTGATTTTGGCTCAGGTCATGATCTCAGGGTTGTGAGATCGAGCCCCGTGTCAGGCTCCATGCTCAGCTCCAAGTCTGTTGGAGATTCTCTCTCTCCTTTACCCCATTCCCCTTCCTGTGATCGTGCACACGTGCTCTCTCTAATAATAAAAATCTTTACAGTAAATAAATAAATAAGGGAGTAAGTTAAAAATAAAATCTCAGATGAACATCAAATTCTTTTTTTAAATTATTTCTAAGAGTTTTTATTTATTTATTTGACAGACAGATCACAAGTAGGCAGAGAGGCAGGCAGAGAAAGACAGGAGGAAGCAGGCTCCCCACTAAGAAGAGAGGCTGATGTGGAGCTCTATCCCAGGACCCTGGGATCATGACCTGAGCCGAAGGCAGAGGCTTTAACCCACTGAGCCACCCAGGCACCCCGAACATCAAATTCTTATTTGCTGAAATCCTCATTCAATCACACTTAAGAGGAATCTCGGCTTTTCTGCTGCTGGGTCAGTGAGGTCAGCAGCTGGTGTCCCTGTGGAGTAGAAATCCCTGCAGGAGATCATGGGAGGGGAGCGGGGTGGTGTGGGAGAGGAGGAGAAATGCCATGTCCTGGAACGGACCCTCTACCAGGACAGAGATCTTTCTCTGACTTGTTCACTAACATAGCCCAAGCACGCACAACAGTGCCTGGCACAGAGCAAACATACAATAGGTATTTGTTGAATGAGTGATCTAATAGCTAAAATGAAGTAAATTATCTCACATGCTGAAAATCCAGGAAAAATGTTTATGATTCCAAAAATTCCTTACTGAAGAGTATAGTAGTTTTAGCTTTTCAAGTTGGTGAGACACAAAGAATTAATTAGGTGGTGATAAATCTAAGCAACGTCTCCAAACCAATCCAATATGAGCTAAATTTTTAGAAATCTTTTCGACTGGTAGTTTTAAATCATGACATAGCTTGAAGAACAATAAGATCTTGAAACATACTCAGAGCAAAACATATACAATGAACACTTCGGGGAAGGAAAGAGAAAACTACTCACTGCCACAGACTTAACAGCTTTGATAAGCTTCTTACTTTCCAAATTCTTTAGAATTTTGTTAATTTCTGTTAATGGCAAGTTACTTTTGTACCGGATATCTCTGCTCCATATTCCTGTAAGAAAATAAAGTAAAATGAGTTCAACACCACAGGATTTGTGTTTATAGTCCTATTGCTTACATCACAGGACAAAACTAGCCAAATATGTATATATGTATACATTCCTAGGGCATAGCTATTGGAAAAACAGAGGTAAGAATCTCAGATAACAACAAAAATATGCAAAACGATAAGTTATGTGCTCTATCTGCTAACCAGAAAGTTCTTGGGACTCCTAGTGTGACACCTTTTAAAAAACATGTGAAAAAGATACTTTTCAATGGAAGAAAAATCTTAAATGTTACTGCATTAACTTACATTGTCTCTTCCATCCCCTTCCACACCCCAACTTTTGTTTTCTATTATTTTTACTTTAGATTGTATTTAGATTATAACTTAAGTTTGAGCCAAGCTCAGGTGCCACTGTCAATGGAGAGCAAAAAAACTCTTTATGTAAGCATCTGTGTGCATGTATACCCATTATTTATATCCTATATTTAGGAGATGAAAAAATGGAAGACTGCAGTTCTTATAGCCACCGAAAGCCCTGTGCAAGAAGCTAGGATTTCTGTTTCAAAGAAGGGTTGTATGTGGAATTTTTTATTAAACATATTACCTATCTTCTTTCCAGCACAGAGGCATAATGAGATAGGAAGAATTAAAAAAACAAAACAAAACAAAACCATAGAGAGGGGGGTTGCCTGGGTAGCTTAGTCTGGTAAGTGTCTGCCTTTCGCTCAGGTTGTGGTACTGGGGTTCTGGGATCCAGCCCCACATGGGGCTCCCTGCTCAGTGGGGAGTCTGCTTCTCCCTCTCCCCAGTCTCCCCGCTTGTTCTCTCTCCCTCATTCAAGTAAATAAATACTTAAAAAAAAAGAGAGAATGGCTTTTGTCATGTCTATTTTTAAAATATTAAACTCCTAATAATATAAGAATGATATGATTTCAAATGATATCATTGCTGATACATTGTTGAAACTAATATCAGGGACTCAAATAGATCCTAAGTTGTAGTAATAGCTATTAGGTATAGTTCTGTAAGAAGGATAGAGAAAACGGAACAGTTGCTGAGGGATCTCTATCGGGACACTACCACAGTGCACTGGACATCCCTCTGGTTTTTGCAAAAACCAGAGAGAGAGATGGTATTATCCACAATTTACAGGTAAGATGAAGATGAAGAAATGAAGGCCTCCAAAGTTTAGAAGTGAGAATTGAAAAAAAAAAACAAAAACCCTTAAGTTTTAACTGGTTTATTTTCTATCGACAGTACCTTCCCATGGTTCAGAATTTATAACTTTCTTTCCATCCTGGCCCACAGCCACCTAGCTCCTGCCTCCCTACTAATAGGAATGGCATCACACCTGGGTGTCCTTCAAGCATATGCATGTTACATATTTCTATTTCCTCTTCTTTTAACATACATGGCAACATTCTCTATATGTCGATCTGCACCCTGGCAAGCCAGAGCTCAGTCCCTATTTCTGGTCCTAAAGACAATGTTTTTTTTCTGTTTTTTCCTTCACATGCTTACCTTTATTCACATGCTTACCTTTATTTCCTGCATCTTCTATGATTTGATATACTAGTTTTTCTTGGTTATCTGATCCTTTCATTTTACTGCAGGGGAATAAAGTAGAATTAAAAAGGCAAAGAAATACAGGATAATCTAATAATCTACATGACTATTTTAATGAATTAGCAGACAAGGTCATCACATTGACTTATTTACCAAAATAAGGGCTTACCTTAAAAAGAATGAGACAGGGCTGTATGTACCAGAATGAAAAGATGTCCAAGATATAGTAAGTGAAAAAAACAAGTTGCAAAACAGTATGGATAGCATGATCCCATTTTTGTTTAAAAAAAAAAAAAAAAAAGAAAAGAAAAAAAGAAAAGAGATTATATATATAGTATATAAATATATAATCATTTCTATATATTTATATATATTCCTAGAAAAAAGGACATATACCAAATTATTAAGAGCAGTTATCTCTGAGAAATGGAACTCATGATAAGAGGCAGGGATGGTATGCAGGACAAGTTTTCATTATGCAATTCTATATTGACATTTCTACCCCAAATACATATTTACATTTGTAATAATAGACATTTCTTAAAATAAAAAAATTGGGGCTTACCCAGCATTCTGAGAATCCTTTATTCTATACAGTAGTCCCGTATTGCTCCTTAAGAGATCCAACTGACCCTAAAGGTTGTTTTTTTTTTTTTTTTTTTAATAGAAAATAACAATGAATTATTCTGGAGATATTTCAAATCAATCACAAATGTTAATGTATTCTTTAAAATTATACACAAACCAAAATATCCTATCCAGCACAGTTCTTTGTTAGTTCCTCACTTGAGACTTAAGTTTTTGCCTACATATCACATGTAATATATTTTTGAAAACTTAGCTCTTTAGTTCATCACTTTCCAAAATATAAATACCTAACAGTTTCCTATATGCTATATTCTGGCTTGGTTATATGACCAATGCATAACGAATTCTGAAAAGCAGCTTTAGAATAATAAATAAAAATCCATATTCAAATTCAAATAAATTCACTAAGTATAAACATAAAAATGAAAATATAATTTATATAAACAAAAAGTTCAAATAAAGACTAACATGCATAAATATTCTGTAACATGATGACTCAATAAAATCTGCAATGTTAACAGTGACATCTACTGATTTGTGTGATTTCTAATGTATTACATGACAGGCAGAAAGGTCAAGTAATGAATAAAAGATGCAATGGTTTCAGTTTTATATAAAAAATCAAGGAGTGCCTGGGTGGCTCAGTCGTTAAGCTTCTGCCTTCGGCTCAGGTCATGATCCCAGGGTCTTGGGTTTGAGCTCTGCATCGCATGCTCCTTGCTCTCTCCCTCTCCCACTCCCCCTACTTGTGTTCCCTCTCTCACTGTGTCCCTCTCTCAAATAAATAAAATCTTTGAAAAACAAAAACAAATCAAAAGGAAAGCAAAGCCTGTCTGATGTGCTTTTGAAATTACTTGGGCCTTTGGGCCTGAACTCAGGAGCACTCAGGTGGCTGTACCACTGGGCTTCTGGCAGTGTGGGGAATCCATGACTGAGAGGCCCCATTCCTGTGAGTTAAGACTGGGACGGCACATGACTTGCAAACAGGTTTATATATGGATGAACAGTAATAATTTCCTCCCCAGACCCCACTAGGCAAAACTGAACCACAAAGTTCCATTTGAAGGTAGTTTATCATTTATTTATTTATTAATAAAAATATTTTATTTATTTATTTGACACAGATCACAAGTAGGCAGAGAGGCAGAGAGAGAGGAGGAAGCAGGCTCCCCACAGGGCAGAGAGCCCAATGTGGGGCTTGATCCCAGGACCTTGGGATCATAACCTGAGCCGAAGGCAGAGGCTTTAACCCACTAAGCCACCCAGGCGCCCCTACTATTTATTTTTTTAAAAGATTTTATTTATTTGACAGAGAGAGCACAAGGAGGCAGAGTTGCAGGGAGTGGAAGAAGCAGACTCCCTGTTGAGCAGAGAGCCCAATGTGGGGCTCGATCTCAGGACCCTGGGATCATGATCAGAGCCAAAAGCAGACACTTAAGTGACTGAGCCACCCAGTGCCCCTGGAGGTTAATTCAGCCTATGAATGTTTGCTCAACGCCCGTACTATGATATATATTTGGGGGGACCAACATGAATTCTAAAAGAGAATTGCACAGCTGATTTCAATTATCTGGTCAGCATTAACATAAAGGTAAGTAAAGGGTGGGATGGCCACTCAGAGTAGCAGCTTTGGCCCAAACTGCGGAGTTCAGGAAGACTTTCTGGGAAACAGGAAGCAGAGCTGAGTCTTGAAGATAATGAGGAGTCAGTCTGTGAAGAAATGGAACCTGAGGCATGAAGTGGCAGGGAACCAAAAACAATCTGTTCCTCTGAAACCTAACTTTTGAGGCAGAGTGGCGGCAGATGGGGCAAATGAGGAAGGTAGTGGCTCAGTCTGGTAAAGCCAGGAGTTTGGACTTGAACCTCTAGTGCCGAGAGGATTCTGCGACTTGGCCAGATCTGTGTTTGAGACGATCAGGCAGGCTTCTCTAAGGCAGATGAAGCCAGAAGAGCCAGTTAGAATACGGCATAATAGTCCAGGAAAAAGCCAAGACCTGAACACATGCAGGAGTAGTAGGAAGGGAAATGAGGGGGCAAATCTGAGAGCTCTTTTAAGAGCTACAATCAGCAACACTTTGTGATTCACTAATACTTATTCCCTTAAAATTCATCATAGTTCCACCATTGTTTATATCCTCTAGACAACAGGACTGGCAGTAGATGGGGCTGCAGAGGTGGAGAAAGAAAGGGGGAGGTGTGGAGGATGATTTTCAGACAGAAAGCAAAAGGCTGAAAGAGCAGTCGCGGGACAAAAGCAGTTTCCATTGGCACTACCTCCAGCATCCCTTCCACTATCCCTCCTGGAGCCAAGTCCTTCACTGAGGTGAACTGATTAGAAATCACCAACAGTACTAACAAAGAGGTCAGCAATCTGGCCCACTGCTTGTTTTTATAAAGTGCTACTGGAATGCAGCATGCTCATTGGTTTATGTATGCAGGTCCATGGCTACTTTCTTACAGAGTTGAATACTTGTGAAAGAAACCACGTGGCCTGCAAAGCCTAAATACATACTATCCGGCACTTTACAGAAAGTCAAGTTCTCCAGCCATTGAGCTAGAGGGTTGAAGGGAGAAGTTTAACAGAAATTTCATGTGTCCTCAAATTTCTATGAGGTCTTAGTGTGGAAATCTTTTAACCAAATTCTACTACGACCAAACTGAAATACTTTCATGATAGGGGAACTTTGATGTAGGGGAAATGGAAGGGCAAATAGGTAGACTTAGAGGATGGGGTCCCACAAGGTGGGTGTTTCTGGACAGTGGAGGAGAATGACATTAAGGCCCCAGAACAAGAGAGGAGGTAAAAGCAGGTAGAAGGGCTTCATTGAAAGACTACATTGTAGTGTTATTTGACTCATTCTTGCCTCCTGAAATGTTCAGGGTGAAATTGTGAAGAATGAAACCCTAATGAACTGGCTCGGTGATAGTTGGTAGAGGACACATTTCATAGCGAATGGCCCAACACTGGCAGCAGGAAGCAAACAGAAGGTGAGAGCAGACTAGTCCCGTGTGCCCTGTGTACATGATGACAATTAGGTTAACAAATACAATGGTTAAAACAAAATACATTTATTTCATTCAATTTTTAAAATATTTATTTCAGAAAGAGAGAGAGAGAGAGAGAGCAAGTGAGCACATAGGGGAGGGGGGAAGAGGGAGAAGGACAGAGAAAATCTCAGGAAGACTCTTCACTGAGCACACAGCCCACGTGGGTCTTGATCCCACAACCCAGAGATCATGACCTGAGGGGAAACCAACAGTTAGATGCTTAACTGACTGTACCACACAGGTGCCCCTCATTCATCTTGTAAAATTATGTGTAATTATTTCTTCTTTCCTCAGTTCAGGCAGTCTGAGCTGTTTTTTGGCTTGGAAGCTTAAGACACTTTTGAATGGTTTCACAACTACATACATGGAAATAATGACAATCACAGCACATAAATGATTATATGAACTAGTTGAATTTGCCTTACCATGGACAGGAGTCTATTGATGGCCACGGCCCGCTGCTGGGCTTCTATATGAGGCATTTCATTCTGAATTACTTGGTCTGTGATTCCATGGGGAAACTGGTGACATAATTCTATAATCCTAGGAACAAAGGCAATAATATTATTCATGTTTTTACCTGTTTCAAGGGGGTGGGAATACAAGCAGAACAGTTTGAAATTGTGTCTTTACTCAAATTTGGCAGATAATCTGTTTTTTTGTATTTTTGGTTTTTTAGTGTGGTGGTGGGGGTAAAGAGGGAAGGGTGGAGGGAGAGGGAGAGAATCATGCCTGGCTCCATCTCACAACCCTGAGATCATGATCTGAACTGAAATCAAGAGTTGGATGCTTAACCTACTGAGATACCCAGTAAAGTGCCCCACGCTAAAATCAGATAATCTGGGTTTCTACGATGGTTCTGAATCAAAACATGTTAGAAAGTGAGCAAGATAAAGTACATATTTACATTATACTATTACTTAAGAGGAATGTTTCTTTTCCTCACTAATACGAACTTAAAATTAGAACAAAAGTCAAATGAAAACACAGAAAAAAATTAAAGCTGAAGCTTCAATATTCTCAGATGGAACAAGTATGACAAAATTAACATTCAGTTGTTGGGCAGCCATAAGTCTGCAAGGAGGAGTCAAATCAGACACCTCTGGTAGGAAGGCAAAATTTGTTAGGACAAGTCACCATAACTGGGGCTTGCTTTTGGAATTATCTCTACCAAACAAAAATAATTCCAAATATCCACCCTGTCATAGGATCATCATACGTGTTTTCATAAGTTTGAGAAAATTAAGGTCTTTTAAAACTATGAAAACCTAAAAATAGCAGTGCACGGAGAGCGAATTTAAAATTAGGAGAGGCTTTAGGTGACCTAAAAATCTTGACTTAAGTACTGCACGGAACCACTTGGCTTAATGTTTCTTCAAAAGCACAAACTGCACCTTAACTTCACCCAAATGTTCTGTCGTGGGAGTTCCCTTAGCGACAAGAGCGATCCTGGATCAAAATATGTAGCTACAAGCACTACGGGAAAAACGCCGTGTCCTCTCTGGGGCACCTGGGTGGCTCAGTCGTTAAGCGTCTGCCTTTGGCTCAGGTCATGGTTCCGGGGTCCTGGGATCGAGTCCCCGCATCAGGCTCCCTGTTGGGCAGGAAGCCTGCTTCTCCCTCTCCCACTGCTTGTGCACCCTCTCTTGCTGTGTCTCTCTCTGTCAAAGAAATAAATAAAATCTTGAAAAAAAAAAAACAAAAACAAAAACCAACCAACCAAACAAAAAAACGCCGTGTCCTCTCTGGGCATAGATCACCTTAATGCAGGAGGGAAGCACATCATCACAACTTTCCAAACAGTACCCGGACAAGGGGAGATAAAGTTACAAACTGTCACACTCGCTCGGAACTTTTTAAGAAGTCTGCGTTCCAGGCACAGGAGACGGGTTCCAAATCCCCAATCCCCTTCCTGCGCGTGCCGGTATCTACCGAGGGTCCCGGGATTAGGAGTCCCGCTGCCCAAACGACCGGTCGCCTGCGGAGAGGCTCCAGAGCCGGGAAGCGAGACTCACTCACTGGTTTTACCTGTTTTCTATTTCGACTGGATCCGCGTCGGGCGGCTGCACCTTCACTTTCACCTCAGCCATGACTCCCCAGTTCCCGGCCACTCGGTGGGAGACGCTCGGGGTAGCCACACAGCCAGTTGGGGAACCGAGGAACCGGGCAATAAGGGGGAAACGGTGCCGGGCTTGGGCAAGGGGCCTTCTTCGTCGTGTCGCAGCCGGTCCTTACTTGTTCTGTCGGCTTGAGGTGGCCAAGGCGCGCCTGACCCGCCTCACTTGCCCGCGCCGTTACATCTTGTTTTTCTGAATGTTAATACTTGTCAGACGAACGAGCCTGGTTCCCTCACTGTGAGTTAGGACGCCACCTCCGAGCACTTTCCAATGTCAGTGAAGGCATATTCTCAGAGGCCTGCAGCGAAGGCTTAGGAAAGGCGCTCGAGGCAGGTACCAGCCTCTGGGCCTAGCGGCAAGGACGAAGCTGGTTGCTAGGAAGTCCGTGTCCGCCAATCACCTGCTCGGCTCTCGTGGGCGGACCCCGATTCGCAGCGTCTGTGGAAACCCAGGAGGCGGCCTTGGAGAGGGCAGGAGGAGGTGAGAGGTGGGCTTCCTGACTGGGGACCGTGGCGGTACCTCGGGGCCCCAATCCAGGTCCCGGTGGCTAGAGGAGGAGGGGAGAGGCGGAGAAGGGGCTCCCTCACTCCAGCTGAAAGGAAGCGGGCGCCCTTATTTGCCCCCGAAGGACAGGGACAGGAACCGGAAGGGGTTCCGGATCCCGGCGGCGAGGGGGCGGTATTGATGGAAAGAGTTGAGGGGTTAGGGGTGCCATTGATCCCAGACTGCATGTGGACCTAGCATGTCGGCCTACGTCTTGATCCTCTTCGCTTGGGGCCCACTGGCCGCCCTAGCCTCCCAAAGGTACCTCCTTAATTGCAGCGGGTATGACTTCCCGATTTTTTTTGGATTAATTTTTCAGCTATTTTAATTTTTTTATATATGTAAAGAGTTTATTTATTTATTTGACAGACAGAGATTACAAGTAGTCAGAGAGGCGGGCAGAGAGAGGGTGAAGCAGGCTCCCTGCTGCCGAGAGCCCGATATGGGGCTCGATTCCAGGACCTTGAGATCATGACCTGAGCCGAAGGCAGAGGCTTAACCCGCTGAGCCACCCAGGCGCCCCTCGGCTATTTTAATTTTAACTGCCTCTGACTTAAATGGAAAAATGAGGAACAGCACCTCCTTCTCCCCTCCCTCCCCCTTCCCGGAGTCCAGCCATCCTTCTGTAGAGGCTATTACTCTAAAATCAGTATCTGCAATTTAAATTCTTAGCCTCTGATCTGGAACTATCCAACCAGCCATTAAAGTCACTTCTTAAATTTAGTTATCCGACTTTAGGGAATGTAGTCTGGGACAAAATTCAAACCAGAAGTTGTTCAGAGCAACATTAATTTTTAAAGATTTTATTTATTTATTTGACTGAGAGAGAGAGAGAGAGACAGAAAGAAGGGGAATACAAGAAGGGGGAGTGGGAGAGGGAGAAGCAGGCCTTCCGCTGAGCAGGGAGCCTGAGGCAGGGCTCTATCCCAGGATCTGGGATCATGATTTGAGCCCAAGGCAGACGCTTAATGACTGAGCCAACCAGGCACTCCCAGAGCAGCATTTAGAATTGAACAGACCAAAACTAAAAAGAAACTAGTAATAGTCTAAATGCCCAACCACAAAATGATAAATAAGATTATGTAAGTATGTGGAAAATTGTAAATAAAAGAGTGAGGATGCAAGAAGTACACTATAAAAATAGGATGAATATAGATTATAACTGAGTGAAAATTATGAATCCATAACCACTGAAATTTGAAAAAGGGACACAGAAATATAAATGGTTGTTGTATTAAGGTGAGGGTTGTTTCCCCCGCCATATCCTTTATACATTAAGAATTATACTCTATCCCACCAAAAAGATCAGTAAGACCTCCCTACTTGTACTTGATTATTTATAAATACAAGAGATGGAGTGGGAGTCTTTTTGTTTGTTGCTCACTGTTTATATCCGTGCCAACTTTCTTTCAGCTGAAGCCTGGTACTCTGCCATCCTTCTAAAATTTCTTTGCAGCTTTCAAATGCAAGAACCACTTGGCAACAACAGCAGGGCCTTGGACCTAGAGCTTTCCCAAGGGAGTTGGCTCTAAATGAACATTTCATGCCACATACAGAGTTACTACTGTTCCTCTTGGGTGATGACTTACCCTGAAGTCAAGAGAGGTGGCATGTTGACAAAAGGCAAGAAAGGGTGATAATGATTTAGGGGAAGCTCAGATCAGATCAGTAGTGATGGTCTCTGTTCTGATAGATAGTAGTCTCCCCTTATCTGCAGTTTTGCTTTCCATGGTTACTCTTACCTGCAGTCAACTGGGGCCTAGAAGCAGATGATCCTCTTTCTGATGGCAGAAGGTCAATGGTAGCCTAATGTCACATCACAGTGTCTAGGTCATTCACCTCACTTCATCTCATCACGGAAGCATTTTATCATCTCACATCATCACAAGAAGGGTGAGTACAGTGCAATATTTTGAGAGAGACCGCATTCACAAAACTTTAATTACAGTATGCTATTTTAATTGTTCTATTTTATTATTGTTGTTAATCTCTTACTGTGACTAATTTATAAATTAAACTTTACCATAAGTGTATATGTATAGGATAAAACAGTATATATAGGGTTTGGTAATATCTGTCGTTTCAAGCCTCCATTGGGGGTCTTGAACATTTCCCCTGTGGACAAGGGGGAGGGGACTGTTGTATTCATCTAATTTGTTCATTTAAAATAATTTTATTTCCCCATCCCATTCTTTCATTCTGTTTTCTCAGAAGTGAGGTAAGTGTTTAGATAATCAAAATCCCACATAAGCCCTCAACAGCAGAAATGCAGCTGAAACAATAATTATTTGAATTACAAATTAAATAATGGTTTTGATGACATTCTCTTTAGTTTTTTATTGGTTTTGCTGTATTTAAACCACATACTTCTCTTTAACTTTTGTGTTCAAAAAGATATGCCCATTGGAATTTATTTTCCTTTACTTTTTTTAATGTAAGGAGGGAAGATGACTGCAGGCTCAGTGTGTGTCCCTCAGATCATACCATTGCGAGTGCCTCCCCCCGGAAGAGCCAACCATGAAATTGATAACAATACACTTTTGGAAATGAAATCTGGTAAGAATCAAATGTACCTGAAAGCATGTAAAATAACTGCCATGCTCTTTAGGTTCCTTGGGTTGTTAATTTTTCACTTTGCATGCTTTCTGCAATTAGGGCCTTGGGAATTTTGTAAAGGTTCCAAAATTCGAAACAGTGTGGTACTTGGTGGTTTATAGAGTGGTATATTTTTATATGAAAGCAGTTGGCTTTGACCAACTTTTCATTTGTATTAGTAGATAATTGCAGCAATGCCTTGATTCACATTAGCCAAGGTAAGATGTCCTGGTTCTTGCCGGGACTTTCCCAGGATTCTCATCATTTTGCTGGGATAGTAATTTGACCTACTAACACAGGCTTTCCAGTCAGATGTGCTGGGGATTAAATCCTGATTTGGACAACTTCTAATGATACATTACTTAGCCTTTCTGAGTCTCAGTTTTCTCATTGTTAGTAAGAATAATGTCTGCCGTTTGGAGCCACTGTGAGGATTAAACGAGTTGACACATTATGTGAGGTACGTAGCATCTGGCACATAGTAATGCCAAAATAAATCTTAACTATTTTTACAGAAAGAAAGTGGTGAATATATTTCCTGGTAATAACAGGAATTTATATATACATATACACACGTATATACATATATGCACTCACACATATACACACATAAAAATCTACATATATATACACATATGTATATAATTAACATGAGAAGAGAAAGCTTTTTTTAAAAGATTTTATTTATTTATTTGACAGACAGAGATCACAAGTAGGCAGAGAAGCAGGCAGAGAGAGAAGAAGGGAAGCAGGCTCCCCGATGAGCAGAGAGTCCAGTGCGGGGCTCGATCCCAGGACCCTCGGATCATGACCTGAGCCAAAGACAGAGGCTTTAACCCACTGAGCCACCCAGGTGCCCCGAGAAAGCTTTTTTTCTTTTTCTTAATCTTTGTGCCCTGAGTGGGGATTAAACTCATGACCCTGAGATTAAGAATCGCATGTTCTACTGACTGACCCAGCTGGGTGCCTCAGGAAAGTTTTATAGATAGAACATATGAACAAATACTTGTTTAAAAAGGCTTTGAAATTCCAATTATATATTTTGATAGTTAATGTGTAAAATCTATTTATCTGTATTTCTGGTGACCCCTGTGCTTCCTAGACAAATTCCAACTAAGAATATAATATACTGGGACGCCTGGGTGGCTCAGTTGGTTAAGCAGCTGCCTTCGGCTCAGGTCATGATCCCGGCGTCTTGGGATCGAGTCCCACATCGGGCTCCTTGCTTGGCGGGGAGCCTGCTTCTCCCTCTGCCTCTGCCTACTACTCTGTCTGCCTGTGCTCGCTCGCTCACTCTCTCTCTCTAACAAATAAATAAATAAAATCTTAAAAAAAAAAAAAAAAAGAATATAATATACTATATCTCCCTTTATCTTAAAAGCTAGTATTATTTTATTTTTTATTTTTTTATTTTTTAAGATTTTATTTATTGATTTGACAGAGAGAGATCACAAGTAGACAGAGAGGCAGGCAGAGAGAGAGAGAGGGAAGCAGGCTCCCCGCTGAGCAGAGAGCCCGATGCGGGACTCGATCCCAGGACCCTGAGATCATGACCTGAGCCAAAGGCAGCGGCTTAACCCACTGAGCCACCCAGGCGCCCAAAAGCTAGTATTATTTTAAAAAATTCTCAAACCAGGGGTGCCTGGGTAGCTCAGCCAGTTGGGTGTCTGCTTTCGCTCAAGCCGGTCATGATCCCTGGGTCCTGGGATTGAGCCCCGCATCGGGCTCCTTGCTCGGCAGGGAGCCTGCTTTTCCCTCCCCCTCTGCCTGCAGCTCCCTTTGCTTGTGCTTTCTCTCTCTCTGTCAAATAAATAAATAAAATCTTTAAAAAAAAATCTCAAATCTGGGGCGCATGGGTGGCTCCGTGGGTTAAGCCTCTGCCTTCAGCTTGGGTCATGATCTCAGGGTCCTGGGATCGAGCCCTGCATTGGGCTCTCTGCTCGGTGGGGGGCCTGCTTCCCTCTCGCTCTCTGCCTGCCTACTTGTGATCTCTCTATCAAATAAATTAATAAAATCTTAAAAATAATTCTCAAATCAGAATACAAATTTTAATAAATGTGTCCATAACTCTTGGGAGAAGGTGGGTTATTACTGACAAATGATGATACAAATGATAGAGTATCTAAATTCCCTAATATTTAAAATGTTTACTAAATAAAGAGGTTCTGGGCACCTG